TTTGGGGGATCTTCAAGTGGGATGTTCCAATGAACTCCATTGGGAAGGTCCTAGACAGAGGTAAGAGTGTGTATGTTTTTTTTTTTATGCTTGCCCTTATCTCTATCTAGCATATTCTATAGAGCTTTACAATATTATCAAAGGGGGAGATTTAACAATAAATGAGACAATTACAAAAAACTTACAGGAACAATAGTTTGACGAGGGCCCTGCACAAACTAGCTTACAGTCTATAGGAGGTGGGGCATAAAACCCATCAGGACAGGAGTTAGTAATCAAAGAAGGTGGAGTGAAGCAAAGCTGGATGAGAGAATATAGTGCTGCTCTTTAGGAGAGAGCAATGGACAGTTATGTGAGGTAGAGATTATTCAGGGAGGCCATACACTTTCCTAAAGAGATGTGTTTTGAGGCACTTTTTAAATGATTGAAGACTAGGGGAGAGCTTGATGGTCATAAGCAGGCTATTCAAAAAGAAAGGAGCCGCCTGCAAGAAGTCCTGCAAGAGTGAGTTGGCTGTACGATGGCGAGCAGCAGACAGGAGAAAGTCATGGGCAGAGCGGAGAGACCTATAGGATACATGTAGATAAGATGTAAGGACTGACAGAAGGGAGAGGTGTGAGAGGAGCGACAGGAGAGGAAAATCAATCTAGCTGCAGCATTCATTATAGACTGTAGCGGAGCAATATGACTTGTAGGAAGACCTATTAGGAGAGAGTTACAATAATCCATGCAAGAGATTACTAGAGCATGGACAAGCTCATTAGTAGAAGTAGTTGACTGATAAGAGTGTAACAAGCTCTGCTTGTTGAGCTATGTTTAGAGATATTAGATATCTTTGTTAATATTTGGTAGGAAAGGATAAAGGAAAGAGTATGATATTAAACTGTTTATATTTGCATATTGCATTTGCTTTTTTCTGTTTTGCTTTGTGACTGCTGTGTATATGCTGTGTTTGCTATATATATATATATAAAACAAGAGGGGGTTATGCAATGTATGATCATATAATGTAACTAAACCCCCATCATTTTTGCCTGGATTAGGTGTTTTTAAAAAAATAAATAAAATCTTTCAACATTGAAGTTGCTGTTTAGTGGATAGGTGAGTGCGCTGGATCTAGTGTATTATATATATATATATATATATATATATATAAATATTTATATACACACACACCTTTGCTTTTTCAGTATTATAGAAGTTAAGTTAAGACTGTGTATATTGACCCTAAAGTTTGCCTTTAAGGGTAATCCCCAAAGTAGCAATTTAAATAATGCAGATGTACATTTAAAGCCCAAAAATCTTAAGACTAGCAGGCCAGTCCCTAAAAGTGTGCTTTTAAGGTCTTTGGTAGTCAAATGTGCAGGTCCAAAAGATTATCAAACTCCTAAGCAATTTGTAGAGGAATTAATAGGTGCTTACTATTGTGATCAAATATGGAATAATATGGCAAGATGGACATAAGGATATGGATCAATGATTAGTCTCCATTGGCCTAGGGCAGGTAATTTTAGTGAGTATCCTTTGTACCATATGTCGAAGGGTATGGTAACTAAATTGGGGGCCTCGCGGCGATCCAGGTTGGAATAGGGACTATATGAATGGAGCAGTTAGTGGTTGGTTAAGATGCGCTCCGTTGTGGGATGCAAAGAGTCAGAATGCACAAGTCACTGAAACAGTGGAGAGTGTAGTTTTGAGTAACAATAATGATACTGCCCCTCCTTCATATTTTATGCCTCTTACAGGACCAGTGGAAATCTATCCAGCTATAATATACAGTAGATATAAGTACTGATGATAGCGATGACAAAAAGGTAGCAATTAGAATATCAGAAAGGCTCCAGTATGTTGTTGGAAGACCAGTGGAAAGTGTTGTTGTGGTAAAAGGTGTTTAGCATAGTCTTGTTGTTAGTCCTGAGAAAAAAAGATGTTGAACAGCAGAAATAAGTTGTTGATGATAGTCAAGAAGTATTTTAATGTGCTAAAAAGAATAGAAAGTGTGAATAGAAACAAGAAAATGTGAATACTACTAATGACATTTTTTTGCTATTGGTGATTCTGTAATGATTAAACAACCATGAGGTACATATTTAGTGTCAATACAAAGGTAATTTCCTAATCCATTTAACCCCTTAAGGACGGTGCCAATTGTACAAGTTGTGATCAAAACAAAACGTAAACAAAACCTGGAATTTGACTATATGTCTGTACAACCACAATCCACCTTTTTCATATTACGTGCACCCAAACATATTATATATCATTTTGTTCAGGAGGAACAGGACTTTAATTTCATATCAAATATTTATCTATCAAACATAATTTAATATGAATAAAATAATTTAAAAAAAAGTGTGTGAAATAAAGAAATGTTGTTATTTTTTTAAGTTCTGCATGGCATTTTAACTATGAATGTCAGAATATTGTTAGATTGTACTGCAATTTAAGCTTGCCAGATTAATTTGCTGGGCCTATGATGCCGTTTGTGACCATATGGCAGCTTGGGGATGTGAATTACCCCCATCATTGAATGCCATTTGCAAATGTAGACAACTTAGGGTATTTAAAACGGGGTATGTCCAGTCTTTTTTTTAGTAGCCACTTATTCACAAACCCTAGCCAAATTTAGTGTTCATATTATTTTTTTTGCATTTTTCACACAAAACTGCAGTTTTACTGATGATTTCATCATCATCATACATTTACCATGTACAGGTTTTATGGTGTTCTGGAAAGTTACAGGGTTAAATAAAAGTCTTGTAAATTAAATTGTCTGGACCTTCTGCCTGGGTTGACAGGCAGGTCCCTCAAATTAAAATTATTTAAATAACTAAGTGGCTTGATCCTGTGTTTGTTGAAAGATTTTGTGAGATTTGCGAGACAATGAGGAAGTTTATGTACAGCTTGAAAACATGTTGGTTGTGTTGGAATGTTTTATGCAAGTGCAAGGTTTTGTGCAGCAGTGGTTAAATAACATGCATGCTGAACATACTTTACGCTAATAAATGCTGGTTGATCGGTGGTCTAATCAGGAATCTCAAGAGTTAATACAAACTATAATAGAGAAGCTGCTGGTGTGTTTTCAGTTTCTAAGAAATACTATGTATAAAGTAGGATATGGTCAGACGGGTTGTGGAAGAGGTTTTATCTGAGGAAAATGTTTTGGTAGAGTTGAAGGTAACGGTAAATTAATGTATCAAGGCCAGGCCCAGGTTGTTGTTTCAAGAACAGGAGGTGTGTGGCAGCTTTGAACATTGGTATGGGGAATGCCCTAACAAAGAGAATAAGGCTCCACAGAAAGCTGCCTGCCCACCACTTCTTCCCTCTACTAACCCACACAGATCCCAGACAGAACTGCAATCTTAAATAACAGAGCACAGGGCAGCCAACCGTTTAGAAACCTTACATTTTTGATCATAAAACTTTCTGATAAAAGGAATCAACTGCCTATGATAAGGTGAAACCCTTAATTGTAATGAGTCAAAATTTATGTTGATAGTGGAGCTACTAGGTCTAGTTTGTCTGGAATTGACTATCACTGGTCAAAATATAATGTCTGTTGGCATCAATGAGGATCATATACCATCCAAGAAAACTTTTACAATGCTTGTGCAAATAATCATTTCAAATTGTCCCGTTAATCTTTTAGGACATGATCTCACGGGAATGATGGAAATGGCCATTGCAGTAAATGAAAATAGATGTATCTCTTCAGGATGTAAAACTTCAGGATGTATCTCTTCAGGATGTAAAACATTATTTAAGGTATTGAGGATTCAGCAGCTGTTGGACCTGTTTCTGAACCTGTTTTTATGTTAAGATAGGAAGTGAAATGACATGTTTAACTTTACCCAAAGAGACTATAGAGATTATACATTGTGTTTTATCTTACAGTTGTAACAACTCAGCACAAACACAGATCACACACTATCCAGTACTAGCACTCTTTTTTTAGGCAGAAGAACATGCACACATTACAGGAATATCATTCTAGTATGACAAGGTATGTGTAAAAGACAATGTTTACTTGTGGCTGCAAGGTTTAAAATACATTGACACATCAAAATGCACCTTCTTCTCCGATTTTACCTATTCTAGGTATACATTTGTTCTATGGCAATAGAACAAATACCTCACATTCTACAACACCTACCAAACACACCAGTACCAGTAGTATAGACACAAGATTCATAAAGTGTACCCATACTGGGCAACCAAATCAAACTCTTTACCTGTGTATCTTAAACAGTATTCACTGAAACAAGATACATGTAAGGGAATAGAACCATCCATAGTTTTGAGAAGGAATATCATGTAATTGACTGTCACCATATAACAGCCTATTAGGAACCCATGATAGGAAGATCAGAATATAGACAAGAGTGGTGAATGCCTTGGTACAACCTCTTGCATCGTTCATGCCTCATGTTAATGCAGTGTTTAAGCTATACAGGGAGTGCAGAATTATTAGGCAAATGAGTATTTTGACCACATCATCCTCTTTATGCATGTTGTCTTACTCCAAGCTGTATAGGCTCGAAAGCCTACTACCAATTAAGTATATTAGGTGATGTGCATCTCTGTAATGAGAAGGGGTGTGGTCTAATGACATCAACACCCTATATCAGGTGTGCATAATTAGGCAACTTCCTTTCCTTTGGCAAAATGGGTCAAAAGAAGGACTTGACAGGCTCAGAAAAGTCAAAAATAGTGAGATATCTTGCAGAGGGATGCAGCACTCTTAAAATTGCAAAGCTTCTGAAGCGTGATCATCGAACAATCAAGCGTTTCATTCAAAATAGTCAACAGGGTCGCAAGAAGCGTGTGGAAAAACCAAGGTGCAAAATAACCGCCCATGAACTGAGAAAAGTCAAGCGTGCAGCTGCCACGATGCCACTTGCCACCAGTTTGGCCATATTTCAGAGCTGCAACATCACTGGAGTGCCCAAAAGCACAAGGTGTGCAATACTCAGAGACATGGCTAAGGTAAGAAAGGCTGAAAGACGACCACCACTAAACAAGACACACAAGCTGAAACGTCAAGACTGGGCCAAGAAATATCTCAAGACTGATTTTTCTAAGGTTTTATGGACTGATGAAATGAGAGTGAGTCTGATGGGCCAGATGGATGGGCCCGTGGCTGGATTGGTAAAGGGCAGAGAGCTCCAGTCCGACTCAGATGCCAGCAAGGTGGAGGTGGAGTACTGGTTTGGGCTGGTATCATCAAAGATGAGCTTGTGGGGCCTTTTCGGGTTGAGGATGGAGTCAAGCTCAACTCCCAGTCCTACCGCCAGTTCCTGGAAGACACCTTCTTCAAGCAGTGGTACAGGAAGAAGTCTGCATCCTTCAAGAAAAACATGATTTTCATGCAGGACAATGCTCCATCACACGCGTCCAAGTACTCCACAGTGTGGCTGGCAAGAAAGGTTATAAAAGAAGAAAATCTAATGACATGGCCTCCTTGTTCACCTGATCTGAACCCTATTGAGAACCTGTGGTCCATCATCAAATGTGAGATTTACAAGGAGGGAAAACAGTACACCTCTCTGAACTGTGTCTGGGAGGCTGTGGTTGCTGCTGCACGCAATGTTGATGGTGAATAGATCAAACACTGACAGAATCCATGGATGGCAGGCTTTTGAGTGCCCTTGCAAAGAAAGGTGGCTATATTGGTCACTGATTTGTTTTTGTTTTGTTTTTGAATGTCAGAAATGTATATTTGTGAATGTTGAGATGTTATATTGGTTTCACTGGTAATAATAAATAATTGAAATGGGTATATATTTGTTTTTTGTTAAGTTGCCTAATAATTATGCACAGTAATAGTCACCTGCACACACAGATATCCCCCTAACATAGCTATAACTAAAAACAAACTAAAAACTACTTCCAAAAATATTCAGCTTTGATATTAATGAGTTTTTTGGGTTCATTGAGAACATGGTTGTTGTTCAATAATAAAATTAATCCTCAAAAATACAACTTGCCTAATAATTCTGCACTCCCTGTATAAGTGTTGCACAGCAGTAGCTGTGTTGACCCCCAAATAAAGCATTTTCATATAAGGGATCCCAATACTAATGGAACAGGCTGTAATGGCTACCTTGAATTCATACACTCCTACTTGAGGCTCTGTTCTGATACAATAGGTATTTGCTTCTAGTTGTGAGGAACTGATTCTGCTGGGTTTCAAACCGTGGTTTCTATGCTGCTGATCCTATACCTTACCAGTTCACCAGCCTGTCTTTTGCAGTTTTACCTGAGATCTGATAACCTTGACTCTACTAGTAATGGTATTAGTGCCAACTCTCTTCATCTGTGTCTGGTCAGGTGTCTGATTCTTGGCCTATATTAGCCACTTCCTGTCTCTGTGCCAGATTATTGTGGTTCCTGTACAATCAAGCTTGTTCCTGTTTCTTCTATTTGTTGCTGAATTTGGTGCATTTTACTTTGCTGTCTCTCTTTCCAATGACCTCGGATTGCCTTACTGCAATTACCATCTTTCTGTTCTAGTCTCTCATCTCTGCTTAAGACCAGACAGCCACTCAAGGCTGGGGGCTCAACTACCTGGGCAAAGAGAAGCTACTTCTGGCAGAAAACATTGCTGATGTGGCTGCTGGACTCCAAACCTTTGTGACATCAATATCATTACAGAACAAACTAGCCTATCCATGGAGACCGCTGGATGAGATTCTGCATTGGTCCGACATGTTGCTTTCAATGCAAGAACTGTGCAGACTCAGGTACAGACCATTCAAGTGCTGCAGGATCAGGTAGCTGAGCTGCAAAATGAAGTTGGTTCAATGCATAATGAACTTGCCAGCTACGGGGCACATGATGTTGCGGCAGCTGCTGCTACTACTACTGTTACCCCTGCACAAAAATGTAGGGGCTTCCAAAATTAATGTCATTTGCATTTCATGATGTTACCTAACCATTTTTCATCTGGAAGTAAGGTAGGAGTTATTTTCTCCCTATTTAAATATGAAGCCCTTGCCCGGGGTTCCTCTTTACTGGAACAGGACAGTCCAGTATTGGGAAATTTAAAAGACATTCTTGAGGCCATGTGCCTAGTTTTTGATGACCCCAATTGCTGTGCTACAGCAGAAGCCACTCTCCTTCATTTACATCAAGGGAAGTGCTCTGTGGCTGAATATGCTGCTGAAATCACACAGTGGGTTGCTGATACTGATTGGAACCAATCAGTCCAGAATTTCCACTTCAGAAGCTATAAAAGATGAGCTAGCTCATGTTGACTTTCCAGTTGAGTTTACTGTTGAGTTTGAGCGATTGGCTACCCATATAGATTGGAGACTTTCAGAAAGAAGATTGGAAAGAGAGGGCTCTTTTAAACCATGTGCTAGTCCTGCTTTCTATTCAAGAATTTCTACTGCTACCCCACAAACACCTACAGACTCTGAACCTAAGGCTATGCAGGTAGATCTAATAAGAGGGCCAAATTTCAATGAAGAAAAACAGTGGCAACACACTCACAATTTATGCCTGTATTGTGGTAGTGCAGGGCATCATGCCATCAATTGCCCTAGCAAGTCTAAAAGAACTATCGCTATGACTGCTGACGGTGCACAGATCCAACACCAATCCCAGATTTCAGAACAACTGGATTCTGTCACACAACTCTTGTTTTCTCTGGCTCAGGGTGTAGATGGAATGATGACTCAACATCCTCATTTAGTGGTGCCTATCACTTTGCAATATAGCGATAATACAATTTCAACTACAGCTATGATAGATTCCAGAGCAGACGGAAATTTTAAGGACATTAAATTTGCAGCAGGAAATAAAATTTAGTCTATCCCTAAATCTTCACCTTTGTTAATGGAAACAGTAGACGGTTCTCCACTTATGTCAGGCCCGGTTACACATGAGACTGTGCCCTTCAAATTGATTCTGGAAGTGAATAACCATGAATCTATATCTTTCCAACTAATTTCCTCAACACAGTTTCCAGGAATTTGGGGTGTACCCTGGCTTGCTGGGTGTACCCTGGCAACCCACAGATTGATTGAAAGACTAGAACTTTGTCATTTCCTTCAGAACACTGCTTAATGAATTGTCAACCCTCTAGTGCAACACTTAATGAAATGGTTGCTACAAACTTGACTAAGCTTACTCTACAATATCGGGATTTTGCAGATGTCTGTGATAAGAAGAACGCTGATCAGCTTCCAACTCACAGGCCTTATGATTGCCCCATAAAGCTGCTAACTGGTGCTGCTGTCCCATTTGGCTATATGTACTCCCTTTCTGAGCCTGAATTGAAAGCACTTCATGAATACTTACAAGAAAATCTTGCCAAAGGCTTTGTTCAACTATATACTTCTTCTGTAGGTGCTCCTATATTCTTTGTAGATAAGAAAGACGGCAGTCTATGGCCATAGGTTGATTAGAGACATTAATAACATCACTGTTAAAAAACGCTATTCCTGAGGGCGGGGCCTGACCACTGAGGGGAGAGGAAGCTAAACTATACAGCTCCTGCTCTGCAGCACAGAAAAAGCGCAAAACAGACGTTAAAACGAGACTTAATCAGCTCAAAAGGGCCACCAGGAGGAGGGTGACAAAGAGGGGCACATTGTGATGCCTCGCAAGCGACACTTACAGCGAAACTCGCCTGCTCGACCTGTGGGGCCTACAAGCGTGGTCGGCGTGAGGGAGACTGCCGCTCCCCCGCTGACATCCACGGCTGGTAAACGGAGACAAGAAGCCCGTTCCCCCTCTCTGGACCGGTGGGGGATATCCCGGTCCGCCCTCGGGAGACCCTGGTACAACCTGCGCACACACAGTGGCGACACAGGGCCTGAAATGAGCGGTAGAACGGCACACAAAATGGCGAAGGCAAGGGGCTCCTCCAGTACTCACAGCGAGCGGATGGAGGTGGAGCACCGGTTGGACAAAGCCTTTCAAGTCCTCTGGGAGAAGCTCGAGACCCTCCTGTTCCCATCACCCCCTGAGAAAGAGCCTGAAACCCGACCACACACTCACCCAAGCGTGTTAAAATGGAAGCCTGCACAGACACCCCGAGCACCAAACCGCCCGCAGGACAACAGAGACGCTCCGCCAGGGCCAACACACAAGGAACCCCAACTTATGGCGCCTGACCGCACCTGCACCTTCCTCGGAGCTCAGCTCTATAAAGGGGCACCCATCTCCGCTCAGGCTGACCAATCTGCAGCTCCCCGGAACCGTCCTGCTGCTCGTTACCACAGGCATAAACATCCCACACGTGTCTCCCGAAAGGAGCCGCAAAGAAGATGGCGTAAAAAACTACACCGGCGGACGGCTCCAATTCAATCAACAAGGTACTCCTGCTGCCACTCACCTCACCAGCAACAAGATCCGCTCCCTTGTCTACAGCACGACATGCCTGAATGGAAGGTCTTCACCTTATGCCACAAGGAGCACATGCCCACAACCCTGCAACTGCGAACCCAGGGTGAAGCCTGGAATGTTAGCGAGGGGAAGACCGGGACGACTTTAAGAGAACTTGGGTGGCAAGCGGGGGCATTGGTTAGATGACATACCAGTGTCATTCCTGGTGGTGCTGTTAAAATGCTGTTACCACAGGTCATAATACCTGCTGCCCTTAGTTGTCTCCCCCCTCCTATAATGAGCTACTCACCCAGCTGCAGTAACAGCTTAACGCACATAACTAGTAGAATATATCTTTCTTGTTTTTCTTTTTTTTTTCTTCTTATACCACTCTTGCAGTTACCTGCTTGATCGCATGTCTAAATATAGCCACACTGAGACATTAAGCATGTTTAATTTACTATGCCTGTCTCATGACATTCCAGCTAGATAATTCAGCGATATTACTCACAGCACTGAGACAGTTTTGGCTACGAGAACTTCTACTGTTTCACTACTCAATCTAACCTTTCTCATAAAATTTGTGCCTGATCTCTCACGTACCTCTATGCTCAAATGTCTATATTGCGTTGGAGGAATGCCTTTGGGGTACCTTACAACCGTCTGTTATAAGCTTATGCACTACAAAAATAAAGAATAAAAAAAAAACTTAGATAGTACTCACATGCCTTGAAGGGCACCTAAATAAAGTCCCACAGTGTAAGTTAGTGAAAAGATAATAATCAGGAATCAGAGGCTACTGTAAACTAAACAACTTCCCTCCTGTTCCTTCAAGGGCACCTATTGCTAGTCCTGCTAGATACTAATATTCCATATTCCATGATCCCTAAGAAAATTTTGC